GATCTTCTCAATTTATTAGAGTTATTTTCAGTTTTCGTCTTTTACGTGTACCTAGTTTTTTTCTAAGGTGTTCAATCTAGTTTTTACGTGACGGCTCAATCATTGAGCTTCGTCATCGCAGATCCTTGCCCTCGCCGCCACGCCTCTCTGTTCAAGTAAAGATGCCGGTTACCCTGTTCTATATAATGAGAAATGTTAGCTGTGACTGCTTTCTACTCTCTCACATGTGCTTTGTCTTCTCATGCTGACAAATTGTCCCACCCTCGTGATTAGTTTCAGATAGTGTCATTGAAGGGCCATTGTAAAGGCAGCGTGCTGGTGCTGACGTTGCAGTATTTGTTAAACATAAAAGATTCCGACGGCTTGTGCCTGTTTTTCAAATCTTTGTAACTGTTTATTATATTTATTATTATTTATTTTATTTTATGTAACTTCTTTAGGACACATAAAAACGCCACCGTGAGAATGTTGATATGTTTTCAGTAAGGGTAAGCGAACTTCGTAAGTGGCGATTTATAGGTAACTCTTTCAGAAAAACTCTAAAAAGTGGTCAGGGCTCTTAATCTTAATCTGGCCCAGTCATCAGCATACGCCGCTAAGTGTGGCTCGAGCCAGTTCATCAAGCATGATCTTACAATTAAGATCACAAGGTTTCAAGCAATTGTTTTCTAACCTTCCAACGTTGCATCGACTTGCAGGGTTTGCGCGAGGACATTAGGGAGGTGGGCCTCCACGCAATAGCATGTAACGGGATGCAGGTCGTCCACCACATAGTATGTGTGCCATTGCATTTGGCATATTTAAACTTGAGAAAAGGAGAACTTGTTCAGAAGAGCAAGAGGTGTCAGTAATTCATGAGGCAAAAAGACATCTGTGGGCATTCCCATTTCTCATTTCAAAAGCTATCAATGTGTCAAGCACACAAATGTTTAACATCTGTTGCTTCGAGTGTGCCACATAACTTACTGGAGCGTGGATTGAAAATAAATGCAGTTTGTTGAAGGGTAAGCTTTGATAAAGAAACTAAGCCAAATTCCTTCTCTTGATGCATTTTAATACAGAAAATCCAGTACCTTTGAAAATTCATTGATATTCACCTTAATGAGTAACAGGGTTGAAACGTTGTCGAAGTATCGAAGCTATGAATGGTAAATTTTTTCAGCTTAATCTTTCAAATCCTGTTGGGGACGCGGGGGTTGAATTCTGAGCTGGAAATTGTCTTTGGAAAGGAAAGCGAAGAGGGAGGGTGTTGTAAATAACTACGTCTGCATCCTCTGAGACTTATCCGCTTCACAACGAATAAGGTTTCACTTGGACGTGCTTAAACATAAACTTGCTTGAAACCCAAGTTAAAAACCAAGTTTTTGCCTAATCAAACTGTCTCATATCCTTCCAATAACTCTTCCGCAGCCGTCACGCTTAAACAATTGTATGCGTACTAAACTCTGGAAGCTTTTGATCCCCTTCTCCATTTTTGTGGTTCAATTACTTTGAAAGCTCCTAAAAAATTAGCTATGTGGGAGAACCATTGCTTTAGCAATCAGGTCAAACATGGTCTTTTTAATTTCTATCCATAAAAGTAGATTTGTACAATCATATTGTTTATCTGAAGAGTGTATGCGTGTGCGAGTAGGAAGTTTGTACTACGTTTGTAGAGCCTTTGGTCTAGCCGAAAGTAACCCCATTTATTGAAACGTAAGCTTATGACATACTAAGATAAAAAAATCAAACTTAAAAAACGAAATATAAGACAGTCCAATCGTGAACAGCTAGAACTACACAGCACAGATAGCTGCTTAATTGGGTATATGAACAGTTTTTGGAAGAAAAGATAATACGGCTCTGAGGAATTATGTGGTTAAATGGTATGGCAAGTTTACTGGAGGAATTCCAATTTTTGCGTTACAAAGGTAACGATAGTTCCGAATATAATGTTAGGAGCTATGGTGAGCAAGAACAAATTATGAAGCTTTTAAAAAGTTTAATTGAAAATGTGATTATGCTTAACTTTTCCAAAAGGGGTGGCATGCAAACTTAATGCCACTTGACAGAACTTCAATTCACATATTTTCTTCATAATCTTCTCCTATAATATAAACCCGATCGCAAAAAAACGCGACGGCTAGTCTCAGATATAAATCTCTGTGTCATCTGCTTGTCTCCTTGTATTATATTAATGATCATATGGTCCAGACGGAAATTTCATTTTGAGCCGAACTGGACTATTACACGTACACTTTATCGTCAGACAATCGATTTTACGGGTGCTGAAGTTGTGGAAACTGTCAGACAATAGATTTTGCGGATGTTGCAGCTGTGACAGGTGTCAGGCAATCAATTTTACTTCGTGACATTGTCAGAGAAGGGCGGCTGTCATGTCATAGCTTACATTCGTTATGATCTAGCACTTTGGACTTTCCAGCTAATAGGTAGGCGCGTACTCCTCAATGAGTAGCACCCAGGGCCCGGCACGAGACCGTTTCTAGGCTTTTTGAAAACGAAGTCCCCCTGATTTTCGAAAATATTACGAAGTCCCCTTTGTCCCTTGCTGTACTCCCCCCCTTTTGAATGTCATTGAATCAGGTCGTGAACCGTCCACCGTAGCTCCAGAAAATGGAGCTACCGCTTAAAATTATTATGATATTCGACATCAGTGAGTCGAACACCTTGCCTCCCCCTCCCCTCCCCCCCCCCCCCCCTTAGACCGAGTTTAAGCAACATCCAGGCTTTAAAGGCACCGCCCACCCAGATTTTCGACTTCCATGTTTTTGTCGTTTCAGGGCCTTCTCATGTCCCTGATTCCGAATATGAAGTCGAGAATGCGCGAAAACCCCGACAATCCCCGTTCCGGAGAACTCACAGGCCGGCTTTCCGGAACGGTGATTGGGTGGGCGCGCACAAATGGGCGGACATGGATGGGGAGGGGCAGGCATGGATGGGGGTCCTCGTGCATCTTCGCTATTCCGCAGCGATTTTCTCGCTTCCGAAGCGGCATTTTGCGCCGCGACTTGGGCATTGGATTGATAGGGGGCCCGACTATTATATGCTACCAATAGCTCAACACCCTCAACTTAGGGTGGACGGTGCCTTAAAAATTCTAAAACCTGGATACAGAATAGCGCCAACTTCGTAAATTCTTGAGAAGAAAGCACATAGCGGCTAATTATAAAACGAATCTTCTAATCTCCATATGATGTAAAGACATAACCTGTTCATAATGAACACGAGACCAATCAAACACATCCACATAAGCTTCTGTTTTCTCAGCAACCTGTTAGCGGATACAAGATAACTGACCGTAACTAGCTCCAAAATCAACTCATTCTTGTTGTATCAATCTTTATGAAACGAGCGCAGTTCACGAAGATTTTCAAATTCATGGACAGTGTCACAAGTTTTGTACGACTTTCCAGCAAATAGTCTTGCTGTTTGAGGATAATCAAAAAATGAGTTGCTTCTCATGGCCCAAGAACGCGAACAAATTGGAGGACATTTGCAGTATTGAAATTTTCAACACCTTCAAACAGAAACCGTGTAGAAACAAAATGAAGAAGTTCGTGAAAATCTTGCTCATCTGCATCGACCTCACTTCATTGACACGATTAATGAGCTCTCGAACAAGCACGCTGCTTAGCTCTTCCTGTCTGAAAGTTTGATTTCAAGTGTGCCAAACAGTTCTTATGAAGACATATTTCCAAAATTAGACCGATATATTTCGTAAAAAAAACAAAATTAGAAACTTCAAAACTCACCATGGTCTTGACAGCATGTAGACTTTCCAGCTTCATGGTCCATAACGTAGACAAGTTGCTCTATCACTCTCAGTTACCATGCTATACAAACTCTCCTGTACGTCTTTCCGGAAACTAGCGTCAAGATTTTCTCCACACAGCGCTATTATCTCAGACATTCGCCGTTGTCACCCGCAGGTGGACCGCCCACAAAATGGCTGATCGCACCAAAATCCGGTGCACCGTCGGGAGACATGAATTTGGTTTTGACCGGATTTTACTGCGATTTTGCCCCAATGCACGCCGCATGCGTGTATGATAGTGATGTTGCGAAATAGTCGACTTCTCTTGGTGATTGCTTTTTGTTGATTGGTGCCTTTTTCTTCAATGTTTTTGCTTTCATTCTTTCTTGTACATCTTATATATAAAGCTGAATGTCTGTTTGTCTGTCTGTCTGTCTGTATGTCTGTCTGTCTGTCTGTCTGTATGTGTGTACGTATGTTCCGAATAGAAAATTCCATTTCTGAACCGATCGGGACCAAACTTGGCACACATACACTTCGGGCCCCGGCGGGTGTCATAGGCTACTATTCGTATCGATCGATATGTTAGGGACAGTGAAAGATGACAGCGCGGTAGACGTGAAACACACCAGTATAGAGCAGTGGCGTACCGAGGGGGGGGGCGGGGGGGGGGGCGCGCGCCCCCCCCCCCCCCGAGAATGGGTCGTGAAATTTTTGAAAGTTACTTATATGGGTTATAAAAATGTGTAAGTGACTTGTTTATTTTTGTAAATAATTAAAATAATTTTTAGGGCGTGGCTGGCGCCACGCCCCCTTTTTCCAGATTTTAGGGGTCTGGGACCCGAAAAAATTTTGGGAAGCACCCCCAAAATTTTTTCGGAGTGCGTGGCTAACGCCACGCACCTTCTTTAGAAAAAAATTTTTGTGGCGCCCCCCCCCCCCCGAGCCGAAATCCTGGGTACGCCACTGGTATAGAGTATGTACTCTATACTTGTGTGTTCCACTATATACTTAATATTAATATATATATATACCACTATATATGTACCCATCAGGGTGAACCGCTGCTTTAAGGATCGGGGCATTATGATGTCTCCCGCAGGTCACTCTGATAATGACCGGAGAATGCCCTGTCGGGGCATTATGGTGTCTCCCGCAGGTCACCCCGCTGCAAACACAGATGACCTGATTTTGCCCCGACACCGATTTCGTGTGACGCGCCGTTGGTCAATGAGATCACACCATTTTAACCTGCGGGTGACAACCGCGAATGTCTGAGTACATGAGGACGTCGACGTTCCACGAATTTCTGAAAAAGCCATAAACTCAACTGAATCGTAACAAATGCAACGGTAACTTAGCCAAATAGTATATCAGACCTTTAATTGTGCTTGAGGGCCAAATCCTGGCTTGGTAAAATGAACCATTCTGCAGTAGTCTATGACAGCACCATCCTGATCCACTAACACCACAAAAGACGCCGCATCCATGTTAGTTGAGTAGACAATTCCCATGACTCGCACATTCCCCTATACAACACATGACTGTGAGAAAAGAGAAAAGTAAAAGATCCAAAACTACCAACCTGACGATTAAAGTCTTCGTCTTCTCGAAAGGATGGAAAGCTTTGAATGTGACTTCCAGCTTCTACAATGAGAACAAGATCCGATTTGAGATACAAAAGATAGCAAACGAAAACTAATGGGATTCAATTGTTAGATAAATCAGACTGTAAGTCGGAAGATTAAAAGAAAACATCACAATATCGAAACCAAAGCTGGAAGTGTAACTGAAAATTCAAAGGGAGAGGACGCAGAGAATTTGGCGATAGGGCGCGATATCTAACAAGGCAAATTCCGAAAGAAAATAGGGCAAGAAAAGAGTGGACGGGGGATAATAAAAAATTGTTTCTATGCTCAGGAATAGATTCTTGAGCGGGCCTTCCGTCCATGCTAAAAAGATCCGAAACTTATGTGAAGTGACGGAAATATATGCTCCAGACGATCTCAGATCGTCTGGTGGCCGTCTGGAGACGATCTAATTTTGGAAAACATATTACTTCACATAAGTTTCTAAATCTTTTTACATAATTCTTCCGCAAATAATATTCTTTGTATACAGTTCAATTTTGGTGTCATATGAATCTGTGTGAGCTGTAAACAAGCAATTTTTTCTATTTTAGTCTTACTTTTGAATCGCGCGCACTTTTCGCCGTACACGATAGAGCATGTCAATCGTGTGATAACCTGTCCGAAAAGCTTATGTTCGACTGGATGGTCGCTTATTTTTGGTGGAGAAACTGAAGAGAATTATGGTAATTAATGGGTGATAACTGTTGGCTAAGGGTACTTAACGACTTTTGAAAGTCTGGCACTTAACGTCCAAGTGTTACTTTGTGATTTTCGAAGGGTTGATACTTATTTTCATAGTGGTAATGAGCGACTTTAGCTTGCCCCCAGCTAGCACATAGCGTACAAATCTCCACCACATATATCGTTAGTAAACGTGAGCAAAAAATTCCTTCCGGGGCTCCGCCCCGGACCCCGCAAAAACGATATCCCCTATGCGTTTTGCTCCAAAAACGAAGTCCAGCCTGCTTCCAGACGATCTGTGCCGGGCCCTGGTAGCACCCTCGTTGCCAGTATCGACGACTGGCTATGCCCAGTTTCGGTGCACTTTTTACATATCGACTGGACATGTTGTAACTTGCTAACGATCATTAGACATGTACAATGTAATCGCCAGTAATAGCGATGGAAGATCGCTAACAGCCAATATCGACGAAGGGTACGAGGCAATTGTGATCGCAAAAAACGGCGACAAAAATTGCCTCTGGCAGGTATTTGTTGCATATAGAACAAAGAGATAATGCGCTCCTCTAGGGGTATAGCACCTCTCATAAAGCACCTTCCATTCGAATTGGAATGATGAGATTTAAGTGCTATATTATACGAGCCTTGAAGGCTATCAAGCCGATGCCCAAGTCGCGGCGCAAAATGTCGCTTTGGAAGCGAGAAGATCGCTTCGGAATAGCGAAGAGACATGAGGACCCAAGTCGGCCCCTTCAGTAATGCCCGTCCATCCGTGCGCTTCATCCAATATCGCCGTTCCGGCAAACCGGCGCGGGTTCACCAAACGAGGACGGTCGGCGTTTTCGCGGTCTCGACTTCGTAATCGGACTCAGGCACATGAGAAGGCCCCGGACGACCAAAACACTGGAGTTCCCTTCAACCAAGCGATCGCCTAAGTCTCGCTGCCGAAAATAAATTCCAAACGAAAAAAACCGCTCCAAAAAATAAAAAGGACCGCTGGCTCCTCCAATCTACTGAATGTTTTCAAGATATAAGTCCGAAATCTAAATGTGAAATCATGATTTCTTGGATACATCGAAGCACAAGTTTGTGCATGTTGACCTGCATTTATAGGCGGAGCCAGCCGAATTTTTTGATGATTTTCCACAAGCTTTGATGAGAGCGCTGGTATGACCAAAGTGATAGGTTAAGAGCAGCGGCGGACCGGGGGGGGGGGAGGAGGCGGGGGTGGGGGGGGGTGCTTCCCCCCCCCCCCAAGAATGAGTCGCGAAATTTCTGAAACTTACCTATGTGGGTTATAAAAATGTGCAAACGACTTGTTCATTTTTGTAAATAATTAAAAGACTTTTTTAAATTTTTTAAAAATTCAAATTAGCCCTATAAAAAATTTATTCTGGGGCGTGGCTGACGCCACGCCCCCCTTTTCCAGATTTTGGGGGTTGGGGACTCGCAAAAATTTTGAGAAGCGCCCCAAAAAATTTTCGGAGTGCGTGGCTAACGCCAACCTTCATTTGAAAAAAAGTTTTTTGTCCCCCCCCCGCCGGTCCGAAATCCTGCGACCGCCACTAGTTAAAAGCAGTTCCCACTAAATTTGGAGTATAGCAAACTTTTAATTTACTTTTAATTTTTTGCTTGCTTTTGACTTCGATTAGGGGATCCCCTTAGCCACTGCCCAGCCCCGATTAAGGTCTCTCCTATGTCGAGAAAAAACTGGGCTCAAAGTGACGCGCATATCGTGTTTCGACGCATACTGGACGAACTCTCGGTTCCCCTACCGTGCTTAAAACGTCTTTCCGCAGACGACAGCCTTTTTGACCCAAAGCTAGGGTGGAAACAGCTCACTCTTTTAAAGGGCTTTAGAGCGAAATTGTTGGGATTATGCGACGCGGACTGAGCCGTGTAGGATTATACAAGGACAAGTAGGCTTGTGTTCGCAAATTCCAAACCCCATATTTTGGTGAGACACTGCATTAAACGAGCAACGACGCTAAGGCCCCTACCGATTTGATCAAGTTTTTGCAAGTTTTGAGCTGGACCGCGGGAGAAATGAGGACTTTGGTTGTAAACACAGGGGTCGTGTGGCATACAGAAGTGGAACAGAGACATGAAAATATGTGACCGTCCCGAACAGCTTCATAGCCCTGCAATAGGAGAAATTCAGCGTTATGACGAACAAAATGCAGTGCGAAGAGGAGTGAGACGAACGCAGTAGGGTAGTTGATAAGCATTTGTCAGTGAAATAACACACAATAGGAAAAACAAATGAATGAGAACGCGAATTCTTGTTACGTAAATATCGTTTTTTGAAGCTCGTATGCACGGCCTGGTCAGAAAGGGAAGGTTCGGTGAAGCTGAGTCCAGATTTCGCTGTTTATGACTTTTACAGTTCCACCTGCTTATCTTAATTCGAATAATCCCACTATTCGTTTCAAAGAACATATTGCTCAAAGAATTGTAGTGTTCCGCAAAGTGCGGATCTCAATGCTTTGTGTGCTTCCTTGCGATTCCCAGAGAACCACCTTCCTTACAGTCGAGTAGATTTTCCATTCAATAGAGTGTGCTTGCACTGAAGTTGAAATGCGGTAAAATTTGCGCGTGAACAAATAGCTGCGCCCGTAACGCCAGCCACTCAGATAATTGCCGGGGGCAAGCGCCCATGCCATTTTTGGGCAAGCGGGCACCGGAAAAATAGTTCGCTGATTTCTTGCGGTCCGCTTGCAGATATTTAGAAGAATTTTAGCGAAATCTTGGACGAATGCTTGAAGAAGAATTGCGGTTTCCTTGCAGATTAGCTGCGGCGCAGTGGCCGCATTCTCGCGGACTTTCCGCGAGAATATGCAAAATTTTCGGGGGCCGCACGGTCTTTTATGGAGGACCGCGCAGCCCCCAGGTACTTTCCGCTGAGAGAAAGTACCTCAAACTTGAGTAATTAAACCATCGATGACTCCTCTGCCATGTAGAGTCTCACCTTTGCTCGGCGTACACCCGAAACTGCATAAAAACCGTCCGAGCGCCAGCTGAAAATTTGACCAGCGCTCGCTGAAAGAGATTATTTGACGAGCGCCTGCAGAAAATTTTGTGTTGCTGCCCGCTGGCAAAACATCAGACAGTAAAGGAAGTGCCGCCCGCTGAAGGTTTGGCCACGCCCCAAAATTCTGCTGAGCGCCTGCAGAAAAACGCGAGTTTGCGGACCGCCTGCCCCCGACGATTGTCTGAGCAATTGCGCGCGCAAACGGCTGGCATTACCTGCATGGCTACTTGTTCACGCGCAAATGTTACCGCATTTCACCTTCAGTGCAAGCACACTATATCTAGCGGAAAATCCACTCGAGTGTACAATTATTTTCCTTCCCATGATGATGATGAATAAGTGTTAAGATGTATGATGGCTGAACTAAAATAATTGAAAAAAGTGATGTTCTGATTGTTTCGCAACTAATAGGGACGGACAATCCCGTAGAGATCTCATACTTGCTAAATCTCATTTGCGAGCTGTGGTTCATTGAAGAGCACTAATCCATGAGTCTCTCTCTTCGCATCATAAATAACTGCATATAACTCTCTACTCATTTTGGCCACCTTATCGCCAGTCGTCTCGATTATAAATGTTTATCATGGGGGGGGGGGGGGGTTGCATTCTTTTTTCAGGATCTGCACAAAGATTATAAGATACGAAGACAAACGGTCCTTTTCTGCCATAGCTCTCGCCGCAGTATCAGACACGTCGAAGAGAAAGTGCATTCTTTCACGTGACAGCGCGAAAGGGGAAATCAAGTTATACAATTCGAGCGGAGTTGCGCTTTTCAAGCCAAAGTAGTTGCTTTTACTGGAGAGTGGTCCAATAACTAAGTGCTTAACAAAACCGTGTGAACGTCTACCTCAAGTTTAATGAGAACCTTTCAGAGCCATGCTTCGCTTGTCTGTAACGGCCTTGTCAAACCTGATTTTGATTAAAATTGTCCATCATACAGCCGCCAAAACAATCGAAAGCGTTCCTACATGAATTTTGCGAAATTTTGACCATTGCACTTTATGTGCTGCAAAAATGGATACAATCACCACTTTCGCTCTACTCGGCTGCACTTCCCAGCTTTCATCGATATAAACGTGGCGATCACGAAACTAACATCAAGCAATGAAGCTACTCTGCAATTTTGCGGTAAGTAAAAAAATGAAAACCTTTTGATTCAGCTGCTAAAATTCAGATCATAACTCTCACTTTTGCCGGAGGCACTTCGAGCTGGTATCGAACTGTGCTCGACTGCGATTACAAAAATTACGGGTCAACTTACGTAGCGCTATTTGCGGAAGCTCTCATGCCCTTGCTAAATAAAACAGGCAATGGGGTTTGTGTTTAGTTTTTGGTAGTGCAACACATGACATAATGATATGCTAGGCATTATTATAAGGATGGTTGTTGCTTATTCGCGCATGTTTCAGACACAAATGTACAATTGTTCGCTTCAAAACCGATCACGAAAAATGGTGAGAAAGAGAAGAATATTGACAATTGGAGGAACCAGCGTCTTTTCGATTTACGAAAAAACAAAGTAAGCTTTAGATCTAAAAATTATATTTTGTGATCCGATAATGAAAACTTCTACTCTTATAGATGTCCTGATGGTAAGTGTCCAAAGCAAGGTAAGGATAAGGCTGCTCCGACAACCGTTGCTAACCTATGGAAAACGAACTTTACGGTAGGAATAACTATGTTTTTTTTCTTATTTTTTCTAATGAAATCGTTGCCTATACCGTACCGCAGCGCTGTTTAGCATAGGATTCTGACTTTTCCAATATTTCTAGAAATTGGTGTTACACCGTTTAGATCGCAATCTTTTACGTGTTCGAGCATTGAATTCAGCGTCCACGAAGACTCTATTACACATTTCCATTTTCTCAAAAGTTTTGAAGCGGCAGTTTTTTTTCACAATGGCATCACATACTTGAAGTTTCTACCGTAATCCTAAGTAATAAAAAGCAATCGGTGGTTCGCTCCGTACTGTAAATCCAAATTGAAGCCAGCTCTACAAAACGGTACCCGTAGCTTCTTGAAAGACCTCGTTACAAGAGATTATTAACAATCAAGCGGTAGGCCCCTTTTTTTAGACCCCGTATATGCCTTACTCATTCTCGCATAATGATGGCGTTAAAACGGGCTCAGCAGGGGTGGCGTTTTCACACGCTGGATGTCGTTTCAAAGGGAAAAGCAAAGGGGAACCCATAAAATTTCTGCCCGGAAATCTGACGAGATATTAGAGAGCACAACACTAACAAGGGAAGTACCCCGAGTGGCCGTGGCCTTTTGATATGAGATGCATATCTTCTGAAGCAGCTTCGAACGCTGATTTCAAATCTGCTTTCCGTTTATGCGGAACGTTCTTCTGAAGAGAGTTATGGAAGCCTGAAAATCCTATTTTGGAGGCACTCCTTGAGTTTGAGAGCGCTGCTAAGTGCGTTGGTGGTGCAGTGGTGTAATGGTTAGTTGTTGGCATTGAAGGCGAAAGGTCACTGGTTCGAATCGGGTGCAGGGCGAACCGTTTTGCATTATGAATGTGAGTTTAAAAAGCACTCTAATTCGTCTACAGACACTGTTGTAGGCAAATATGACCTAAGAAAAAAATTTTTTGGCAGAACTGCTTGTAATGAGACCCTGAACTCTACTTGACTTCTTTACAAGAAAACAGGACCAAACATGGAATGATATCCACGAAAGTCCATAATGGAGGAAAATGGACTTCCAAACCCCATTTTATTCGTTCGCGGTAGAAACTGGTCGGAATCTACTTCCGCTAGCGTTATCCAAAAATTTTTATCTCATCGCAACCACGAGGCAAAGCGGTGTGATGAAAATGATTCAACCCTACTTGAGCTCTCGCTTGCGAAAGAATCATGCGAAAAGTCCATTTAGAATGGGGCAAAATGGGATTTACCTCCATTTTAAATGGACTTGAAAGCCCATTTTACTCCCAGCAACAAGGTGAGCTGGGACTAAGCCCATTTTTGACCTTTTTGCACATTTTTGATCGCGATTTTTCGAGAATGTGTTTCTTAGCCTATTTTAAGGTAACGAGTGAGTGGAAGAAGTTTTAGGTCTTTTATGAAGTTCTGAAATGAGTGTTTTTTTCTAAACTCATACAAATGCTATGAAAATTATGGAAGAAGAGTAAATCATCAAAGTATTCCCCAACAAACTCAATCAAAGTATTCCCCAACAAACTCAAATGTTTCTGAATATCATGTCGATGCGAGAATTCCTATGTAAATTAGATAAAGTTTGTTAACTCTTCAAATCATCAATCAAAACTAAATTTATTATTTGTATTCAAAGATAAAAAAGTTTTGCGTTTCAATATAATTACTCAGAAGCTATCTTTTGACTAAACTCGTAGAACCGAACCTCAAAGACGGCCTTTATGAACGAAGTTTGAGTTTGATCGCAAGAATTATTGAAATCCGCTAGCTAGCAAGAAAAATTCTGTGGAAAATTTCCTACTGTCAATAGTCCATACATTCAACTACTTAGAGATATGAACATTAGCGTTGAAAGACAAAGAAGAGCTAAAGTAAAACATTTGCGAAGTCATCATTTGCGACTCGTAGTTTTCCGATTTAAAGACCCAGGCTTGTAGGGCAAGGTTTCCTACGAGATAAGATTTTGCTTCACAGATTGCAGTGCAAGTCTAGCCAAAGTTTGCTTTCCCCAGAAAGCCCTACATACGAATTTGACTTAAAGCAGATCCATAGAACTCTTGAGAAGCGAGGGCCCGGATATTATGTGAATTTTATTCTTGAAGATGTTTTCGATGCATAATCATCGATAACAAATGGCATTTTTTTATGTAAAATAAAGTGTGAAAGCATAGAATATTCATGTGACTGTCATTATAATGTTAGGTCAGCCCTAGTTACATACCGACCACTTGACAGAAATGAGTTTGCAAGAGTGAGTAAACAGGTTGAGGCAAGTTGGAGAAAGGTTTGCTGAAGAAGTTTTGTATGGAATGAATGGATTCGCGAATGCGATATCTTATCGCACCGCATGGACTAAGTCCATTTTATTCGCACGAAAAGCCCATTTCGCGGGG